TATGCGGATTGTGGGGGCAGTGCGTGTGGATTGTGATGATAGAGAACTGGAGGTATGATAGAGCAAAACAGATAGATAAGTTTAAAAAGGATTTTGAGGAAGGGAACTAACCTAGTGATTCTATCTCTTCTCCATCCATTGACGAAGGGGTTGATTCTTGTCGACCTTTCCCTTTTCCCGTCCTTTGTGGTGGTCTCCATGACCCGTCTCTCTCCGTGTCTGACAATCCTCTGGGTTGCGGACCTTCTAACACTTCTGGCTGAATCTCTTCACCGTCTATGTTTCTGCCTGTTATCTCCAATTCTTCTCCTTCTTCTCTCTCTTCATCGATATCTTTGTCTCTTTCTTTCCTTTTGTAGTTTCTTTTTGGTTGCTGTAAGCTAGGTCCTGGAGTTATCCCTGTTGCTTGCGAAGTTGATCTTGTCAATCTTGCCTCTGCTTGTGCTAACCGAGCGTCCATCTTCTTCTTGTGTTTGTTGAAATTTTGTTAATAGTTAACAATGGTAATATTATCAATGAGAGTTCGATAATTAATTTCTTGACGTTCCTTAGGGAGGTTGAGAATGTTTGAGATGAGAAATTTCAGAACTCGAATTCTAAATTTCTCTCTTTGGCACTTTGGCGCCTTTTGCCTGTGCCCGCACTTCTCTACCTCCGCTAAGTCACCGTGGGCTTAAGAACCACGGCGTGCCTTGCGGTTCTTTCAATGATCTTCAAGAAAAAAGGTACGGTAAGAGTCAAGATAAATTAGTGAGTTGAAACAGAAGAAATTGAATCAATAGCAAAAGTGAAGAACATACAGGACAAACTCGTCTTTCCTTGGCATATTTTTCCATGTTAATAGCGGAATCTTCTGTTACAGCTTGTGACGTGATTCCGTGTTTCTTAGAATGGTGCTGTATCATTGACTTTGTTGATGATGTTTTATCTTGTGTGAGCTCAGCAAGGCAAAGATCATTGCTGCCCGGGTTGACTTTGGCTTGACATATTAGGGCATCCTTGTTGTTGATTTTCTTCTCTATAAAGTAATGTCATACCCATGAAGACTTTGTGCCAGACTTATTCTGTGAATTGGCTTGAGAATCATGCTCTGAAGTACCCATAGATTTCGAGTCAGGTTCTTCAGAGTCTACGATAATAGTTTTTGGTCTTTTTTGATTGGTTTGTGGACTCAATGAATTATGGGGGTGTTTGCTGCTGATTGTAGCTGGTTGTGCTGAGCATGTCATATTGATGATGAGCAAGGTAAAATCAAGTACAATTTGGTTGGGGTAAGCAGGCTACGAGGCCTTGTTTTATTTATAAAAAAAACTCGGGGCAGCCCCGGGCCTGCCCAAGCTTTACTGGGCCCGAGCTCGGGCAGGCCTTAAATAGATTGGGCCGGGGCTGGGTCGGAGCCTTAGTCTAAATGATCAAACCTGGAAGCGACCAACCACCAAATTTTGCATTGAAAACTGTATCAAGCACTCACCTACGCCTTACCATGGGGTGAAGCGATGGAAAGTCTGTTTCCGGCTTTTCAAGACTACTCACAAAGTCTCATTGTCAAATGAGCAGCGCAAACAGTTCCACACCACTCCAGAATCCAAGGTAACATGGTTAATCAAGCGGCACGGGAATCAGGAATCAATACACTCACCCAAATGTACTCAATCAGTCACACTACAAAGAATATAATGTTTTCCGGGCAGAAAACGCAAATATTGATACACAAAAATATTGAGCGGTGAGGAGGAGGGCAAAAAATACAAAAAAATATGGCTGTTGTTCCTGGTGTTGAGAACTTCAATCTGAGTATTTTTTTGTATTTTTAGAGTGCATATTGTTGAATGTACTAACAAAAAACCCCATATTCATCAGATATACACCGGTAACAGATGCTGAAGTTCAGTTCCTCAGATTGGAGAGGACAATTTGAATCTAATATATAAAAACGTAGAACAGGCCCGCATGAGTTCGGTTCCATGTTCCGTTCCAATCCCGACCCGTTTGTTATTGGCCTTCTATTTGTTGCTTTTCTTTTCTCTGCTTTTCCATTTTCTTTTAGTCCCAATCTTAGTCGGGTTCCATCGCCGCTTTTTTTAGTCTTGTCAGCTTTTGCCCCGATCTTTTACTCTGTGTGTTGTCTCCTTTTTGTTTTTTTCTGCTATCAGAAATTCCATTGTTCTTTTTCTACTGTTCTTTTAATGTGCATCCTCTCTGCTTTTGCATTTTCTGTGCGTTTTGTTTCTTTTTCTTTTGTTATCCGCTCTACCTTCAATGCCGTATCCTCCACCCTTTTCCTTTTCCTACTGTTATCGCGCTTCTTCCCCCGCTTTCGTTTCTGTCTCTTACCACCTCCTATATTGTTCTCTTTGATTTCCTCTTGCCTTGCTGTCGCATATTCAGATCCCTTTGGTTATCTCTGACTTTTTTTTTCTTACACTCCTCTTTTGTGCTTTTCAATCTTATCTCATCAATGCTTCTCTACATATAGCTTGCTTTTGCTTTTGTTAATAGCCTCCGCACTCCTTTAGTTCAAACTCTGTCCTTAGCTCTATAAATACCGCCCTTTTTTGCTCCGTCTTCATGATTACTCATCATCCACTGTATAGTCTTAATCGCTCATCTTTACTGCAATTAACAATTGATTTTGTGTTTGGTGTTAATCTTGATTCAAGAGGAATTCAAGAGGAATTAGCTCTCCAGGCCCCAAATGTAGTCCATTAAAAAATAATAGAGAATGTGGTAACAGTGTTGAATTCAATTGAGGAATTAGATTGTTATTTTGGAGTCCCGGACACCTGTTGCGGGCATGCCCGCATATTCTCTAGTTCTACAAATGCTCATAAAATTTGCAATTCTTGCTCAAAAGACTCGCTTTTAGGCTCATTAGAAAGCCCCAGTCTCTCTCTAAATGTCTTAATAATGATTCAAGGCTTCATTTTCTCTCACAAGGCAGCTATAGTCACTTTGAAATATCTTCTTCAAAGCCACATAGATTCTTTGCAAAGCTGGACACAGCCCCATCACCTCAATGAAAGATCTAGAGACAGAGTTCAGCTTTCTAATGAACCAATAATCGAGTGTTTTCCTTGCCAATTGCAAAATTTATGAGCATTTGTAGATTTCCAATTGTCCTCTCCAATCTGAGGAACCAAATTTCAGCATCTGTTACAGGTGTATATCTGATGAATATGGAGTTTTTTGTTAGTACGTTCAACAATATGCACTCTAAAAATACAGAAAAATACTCAGATTGAAGCTCTCAACACCAGGAACAACAGCCATATTTTTTTGTATTTTTTGCCCTCCTCCTCACCGCTCAATATTTTTGTATATCAATATTTGCGTTTTCTGCCCGGCAAACATTATATGTTTTGTAGTGTCATGACTACCACCAAAATCTCACTTCCTGTCTGTGACAAATGCAAGGGATTGAAGCATGTTCGAAGCCTCATCACAGCTCTTAATGTGCCATACGCAACCAAATATAAGATCAAGTATATTGCCAAGGTTTTTATGACAGGTGGTCAATTTCAAGCAGTTTTAATGAAATACGCCGAGCTTCAAGTACTTCAGAAGTCATTGGAAAAAACATCTCAACAAGGTGATGAAGAATTCTGGAATGCTATTGGTGTGTATGGAAAAGCTGGCTTGTTCAAGAATCAAGAGGTTATTCGTGGTCTGATGATGGCGGTCGGTGTGCGAGCTGAACGTGAATCAAATGGGAAGTTGATGCGCGGCTGTTGATTTGATTTCTACTTTGACAACTTCCTCACAACTTTGGCAGCCATCAGCCCTCGAGCTCTAAAGCTTTTCAACAACAACTTTGCTGATCGTGGGGCCCAAAGCATGCGTCAGATTTGAAAGGTCCAAGGTATGCATCTTGAAGACGGTCTGCACTCAAAAAACTTCAAGAGGCTTGCACATATACTAGCTGAGCTGGACTATACCGGCCCGGTTGCTGCTGCAACTGATGAGACAGTCTGTGTAAAGGCAATGCAAAATTACAATGGCTACTTAGTAGGAGCACAAGGCGGTGATATCCCTTTTAGTGATGGTGATAAAATTGAGCGCTTAGTGAAGTCGGCAGTCACCAACAATCAACTCTGTTCCAAAGTTTGTCCATCACCTGCCTTAAATTTTGTTTACCCTTTGCTTTTTGACTAAACTTACACCCATCTAACCATCATCAGATACAAGCTTATACTATTCAGATCCCTTTACCAAATATGTCAACATATGTAGTTGCTATAATAGCAAGTCGCAGCCAGGATAAAGCCAAAGACCTAGTTGCTCAAAATCTTAACTTCATCAACAAATGTCCAGAAGCTGGAATTCACCTCCTTTCACTCGGATTGGATGGGGAAGCTACAGAGTTGGCTTCTTAAGAGCAACTTATTGAATCTAGAACATATTATCTTACATATACAAATGAAGATCTAGAGGTCTACGTGAAAGTCCCTCTTTTTGGAAATGAAGCTTGCCCAATTGTAATGATACAGGATCCAAAACATGCTTGGAAGACGGATGCAAACCAACCACTCTCTGGTGCCCGTGTTATATCTTTTGGCTGATTCCATGTTGACATCCAACAGTTGGCTGTCTTACTTGAAGAGGCAGCTAGTCCGCTCTACAAGCGTGATGTGTTCGACAGTGACCGGCAGGACGACGGTCGTGCACATCGTATGTTCTCAGCAAAGACATTAAAAGCAGCTCTTAAGCAAGAAGAGTGCACCAGATTATCAGTGTATCTGTTTGTTTTTGGAGAAATGATGGCTGCATGGCTCAATCAAAGTATAGGTCATTGCCAACGACTACGCTCAAACTGGACAGCTGAGTTCTTCCTCCGTATCTGGAAAAACTACCTCATCAAGCAACAAAATCAACCAGACTCACTCATGAGTCTATCCGCAAACAGGATCTCACCTCAAAGCTTGAAGATCTTTTCAACTATGGCGAGTCGCTTACTTGGCCTCATCATATCACACCAAAGATACTACTCTGACGTACCTTTGATGCCCTGGAAACATGGAACCAAGCCAATTGAGCATGTGTTCGGATGGATGTGTGTCATATCACCAAACTTAGCTGTCCTTGATGCTAGACAGATGGTTCCAAAACTTCATGCTGTGGTTAAAAGTGTGATGAGTGGAATCATCAAAATATCGAAATCAGAACATCTACATTCCGGTAAGACTATTTTTGGTTTTCAATTTAAAAAGGGTCACTAATCACATTTCCACTACAGGCTATGAATTTGCTTTCTCCAAAGAACCTGATTCTGAGCACATTGATAGACTCTGTTACTTTCCCACTGACAAGGAGATCACCTACAACTTGACTGTGGCCAAGAAACGAGCCATAAGTTTGGCTTCTTTTGTTGGAATGCACAATGCTTCCATTGTTGATACTCCTGTTGGGTTATCTGGAAACAAAGTCTTGGGAGGTAAGTCTAGCATGAAACATGTGTAGACAGCTTGAACACTTCCCGATGTACTCTCAAAGATGTCTCAACTTGCATGGCTGAGAGCTATGATGTTGAGTATAATTTTGGTCCGGAAAAATCCCTCAAAGCAGCTGTGGCCGCGGCAGCAGAGGCTACAGATGAACAGCAGCAAACAGATGTCCTGCTCTCTACTATACCAGAAGATCTTGATCAAGAGATCTTCAATAATGTAGCCATGTCTTTGTTGACAATCCTTGGACCCAATGATTCAAGCTTGTCTGAAGAACGCAATGAAGCTGCGCTGGCTGACTTTGCCGGAGCTGATCACCACCTTGATACATTAGTCTTGAACAATCAAGATGGTATGAAACTAGAAAAGTAAAAATTACTTCAGCTACGAGTTGCCCACGATTGCCAGGTTAGAAAGCATCAGGGAAACAAACAAGAGAAGATTGATATCAACAACTTACGCAAGTCAACAGGAGAGGCTTTGAAGCCCAGCAAGTGTAGCAAGCTTGTTGCTGTTGTAATGAGGAACGCTGAAGCTACACCTACAGGTCTTTCACGTATCCATCGATGGACCATCAATGTTAAACTCAACCTCTTGCAGTGTTATCAAAATACCTCGACTCATCTTGATTTACCCTTTCAAGCCACTCTCACAGGTGGTGGAATTACCACCAAAAATCCAATTGAAATGGGCAAGTTTGTAGTCTTGATCAAGAACAGTGTAAGCACTACATTAAATTAAAAGCATTCAAATGATCATACTGACATTGTGGCTGGTAGAAACTCTATCTCGGAAAAACTCTAGCAGTATACATTTACAAAAATAAGAAGCACACTTAGGTCAAAAGTGCCAAGACTCGAGAAGAGCTCTCATACGTTTCAGTTCAGATTCTCAAGAACAACCCACATACTCCTTTAGCCACAGCGTCTGAGACACTGACTCCAGATGAGTGGACTTTTTCTCGAGTAGAGGCATCTCACATAGTATATGTTTTCCTACCATCGCAAGGCTCTACCTTTTCTTACATAGGTGAAGGATCTTACTCTGTACCTCTTGTTCTACGCCGCTTTATCATTTCTATTGATAACCCAGGCTTCATTAGAGCATTTGAAGCTCAGTTGAAAACTTTGAAAAGCACCCATACAGATGAATTAGAAGATCAATAGTCATCAAAAAATGGAGTTTCTTCTCATTTGTCAATGATTTTTTTTGTTTTACATTGGTCCTTCTTAGTGTTTGAGGTCAAGAAGACCTCTTGTTATGAAGAAATATAGTCATAGTGGTCCTTTTTCACCCCTCTCCGTGCTATTTGTTGAGAAATGCCAGATCGGCCCCGAATTTTTTTTACCCGAAATGGTACTGATGAAAAAGGTAGGATTTTGAGATTTTTTCAAAAGTTCACCACGAAAAGGTAGGATAGGACCCTGGAATACACCCACAGAGGGTACTTACGAAAAAACCGACCTTTTGTTGACGTAGTTTTTAGATACTAGACTGCACTCTATCAAGACCTACAGAAGCACAAAAGATGCACCAGAATGAAGGCTTTCAAATTCACTAGCTCGCAGCCTGGTAGCACCAATATTACCTAAGATATATCAATGTAACGCCCAAAAAAGGGCCAAAAATCGAGGGTCGGTTTTTGGCCTTGGAGGTCAAAAAAAAAATTGCGCCATCGCGATTTACGCCGCCGTGAGACATGATGCCGGGCTCTGTCTGGGCTCATCTGATAGCCCTACTCCATGCGCATCTTTTGAAGTGCTCTGCAGCTTCATAGAGGCACTGATGCGTAGTGTAGAGGCAAAAAACTGAAAATCATGCTCCGTCAGTACCCTCCATGGGTGTATTCCAGGGTCCTGGTAGGATTTTTGGTAAGTACCCTCTGTATGTAGGGGTATCCCAGGGTCCTGAGCCATTTCAATTTTGAGTGCTGTGGTGGATGAAGGTTTGCCTTTCGGGAGAACAGGCCGGCACTGGCACCGGTGGGCACTGGTGAGACCCAATTTCTCCTGACTCAACAAACAGCTGTCAGCAATGAGCATCGAGCAATATTGGGGACTTTTCCCAGGTATGATGCCTTTGGTGCCATTCGAAGAATTAGTACTGTCAAATACATGATATGTATTTCTTCCAGCCTACTGTCCTACTGTCGGTGTAGTTTGGCAGCTTTCCAGGTCGAAGCACGAGGGACTTGACATCATGTCGTAATCTTGCGTTCTCATTGTCTGATTTGATTTTGATACATTTTATTGTTCCCTTTCAGCTTTTGCCTGCGAACCTCCAAGAACCTCCTGAGTCCCACCTGCTTCACCACCGCGAAATTTTTATTCGTCTTTACACAACACTTCACTTTAAATGCCTCGAAGGCTATTTCGCAGGAGGAACGCAACTTCCCTGGCGGCCAAACTCAGGTCTGATTCCATTGATCGGGACCTCCGAGCAAACAGCCCCGGCGTCCATCCAGGTGGGACAGACTCTGAAGACCAGCGTGTTCCGGTCAAGGTTCTTGTTCTAGGTCAGTACTTTGTCTTAAATTTGTGTAAAGTGACAATTGCAGTGCCGGACCGAAAGTCGTGATGATACCTAACCATGAGGTACATACTATCTTTTCCGTATCTATGCGTAGGCCCCGCAGAAGCAGGGAAATCAACATTTATAAGGCATCTCCGAGCCATCCACGATGCAGAATCGCTGAGCGCTGAGCGTGATATGTTCAAGCTGGCGATCCTCTTGACTCTCCTTCGTAGCATCAAGGCGGTGGCTGCTACCTTCGATGGTCCACATCATACTAGACTTCGACGTCTTTTGAACCTCATTGGGCCACTGCTGTGCGAGGACGATAGCTGTGTTGTTGGTCACATGCTTGATGCTGGCCGGTCCCTCTGCTCTCCCCTGGGCTCACCAAGTGGATCCTCAATTTGCACGTCTGATGCACGCAGCGTCCTCTCCATCGTCTCTGTTCCAATGGTAAAATCTTTGCATGCTGTCAGTGAGCAAGAAGAGTTATCAAAGGCGCTCTTGGATCCGCAATCTCCTCTCTCAAGTCTCGATTACTCGTCATTGGAGTCAGATAGTAAGGATTTTTGAAATTCTTGTTATTGTCCATGCGTAATCTCCATACTTCATGTGATCATTTGCAAGTCTAATCATTCTGCCCAACCCGTAGCTTTTTCCTTTGCACCGGATTCCTTGCATGCGCCTGGCAGGGTTGCTCCACGCGTCTGGCAAGAGAATGCTCGACTGAAACGGCGGAGTACCCTCAGTACAATGAATCGGTCCTACGATTCGGTACCAGTAGACTCCGCAAGCGCAGATCTACCCTCACTGATATCTCAATATCGATACGAGATTCTGAAAGTCTATCATCAAGCCATGGCAAGCGGTCTTGTTGTACATGACTGGCGGAGTGAGCAGTGCCCAGACGCTCTATTGGAGCTGAACGAATCCTCTGTATAGTCAGTTGATGAATTTATGAGATAGGTTGCCGATCTTAAACTTCTGACTTTGTGGACTTGTCTTTCTCTCCATTCTCACCAAAAGCATCCTGGAAAACGTTGAACGGATAGCACAACCTGAGTATCAACCAAATGCTGATGACATCATGCACGTCCGTCTTGCTACGATTGGGATGGAGGAGTACAACATCGATGTGGGTCCAGAGAAATGGCGTGTATGCGATCCCGGCGGAGTCAAAGGAAAGCACGATAATTGGCTGTGAGTTTTATGTTTTGATGTTTGTCTTTGGCCTATGTGCATGAGCTCCACCGGTGATGACCTCATGGGTGGCTTGCAGTCCACACTTTGAGGATTCCGGAGCCGTGGTATTCGTTTGTGCCATCTCCTCATTCAATGAGGTCCTTCGAGACGAACCTGGTACAAACAAGATGGTAGAAGCCTTGAAATCGTTCGAATCGATCGCAAAAAATGGTATCCTGGCTAAAGTCGCAATCGTCGTACTTTTCAACAAGGTTCGTTCAAACTACTAAGTGTTCATCATGGCCAACGTCTTGAATATTAGAAATTCATCTTGAACTTTCTCAGTGTGATGTGTTGGCAAAGAAACTGAAAAAAGGTCAAGTTCAGGTTTCCCAGTACTTCCCCAAATTTGACGGTAAGTGCCAGCTGCTACTATGATGATGGGTGATCACCATTCTATAAGAAACATAAATGACCGCTCATGATGTCCTCTCTTTTCACAATCTCTTATAGGCAACAACGAAGTTCAGGACGTGATCCGATATTTTGCAAGCCAGTTTTCGAAACTGAACGCGTTCCCAAGCCGCAAAATCTACATCCATTCTACGACTGCTATCTCGAAATCTGCGGTGTGGTTGATGACACAGTAAGATCACATATACATCACCGCCGCCTTGCTCAAACCGTCTTGGTAAAACTGCTGACTTCACTTTGTGTCATGACCATCAGGCACGTGACAAACGCCATCGTGCAATCAAAAAAAGCTCAAGGTACCTTGACGGCATAGAGGAATTCAAAATAGCCTTTCTCTTCTACTCTTGTTCCTCTTGTCTATGATGGAATGTCTTGAATCCCAATAAGAGACAATAATCGTTTTTTCACTGCACATCAAATAATCTTACATTTGGGCTGCGCCTCACAACACTTGATCAACTCATCATGATATCAATTTCTTTAGATATCTCTAACTTTCGCATCCACGATGATTCTCCTCTGGGCAGGATAATGGTTTCGTCAGGTTTCATCGTTTTTTCTTGATTTGTTGCATCTTCTTGCTTTACTAATTTCATGTTCTACAAATATACTTGTTAGCTAATTTTATGATAACCCACTATCGGCCATCCCAATGATAAATCCAGACCGTAACTTATATAGATGCTATCAAGATCTGCACATCCATTTCACCATTTGCGACTCATATCACATTGCAGTAAATTCTGTTTCAAATTCCAGCAATCTGGTGCAGAGAATTTTATCTTGGAACACAGTGTCCGCCACAAATGCGCTCGACATCCAGAAAGTTTAGAATCCTGCCAGATGTGTCTATTTTTTGTGTTTTCCACAAAAACACATCCACCCTGCACAGATGAAGTTGAGCAAAGCAAAGCCGGTGAAACCTCTGTTTCTCATCATCTAATTAGGATGACTGGAGCGCACACCGGATCTGCGGCCTGAGCTATTCAAAACTAGCTGTACAGCCGTCTCATGAGTGCTGATAAAAGGAGTTGTTTGGGGACTTCCTCCTATCAAAAGCTTCCGACCGTTCTAAGACAGGGCTTGGGAGTCTAAAATTTTGAATCACCACTCTTCTTCCAATAAACACCCATGGATTTAGATTTTGAAGCATGTATGAAGAGGTGGGGATCAATAACGGGTCATGATCAAAGTTTCTCTTTAGCACTCCTGATGCTCATAATGGTGTTATTTACATATCAACAATTGATTAGATGATACTCATCACAATCTCAAAGATTCTCCTAAGTCAAATCATCATGCCAATGATGTAATGACTATACCCATTGCAAATGTCAAAAACACTTTTCTACGATGCATCAATGATGTCGTGCTTCATCCTGCTAACACTACACCAAATTATTAATTTACCGCTGAGTTTAGAAAGTCAAAATGATAGAAAAATATCACCAATGCAGGGAGGTCAGAAAAAATTGAAAAAATAATAGTTCAATCCATGTGTGTTTTCCCCTCATGGTGCATATTTTTGCATATTTTTGCCTTTGGTTATGAAGATATCTCAAATCAAAATGCTCACAGGGGATATCAGGTCAGAATCTCAGATTTGGTCCAAAACTAGCAAGATTTGGTCAAAAACCTTCAATGCCCAAAAATATGAGAGTTTTTGTTCAATCACCTGAATAACTTCGATTCATGAGAGCCGCATAATGGGTCTACAATTTTTATTAATTTGCTGAAGCCATTAGCAGGATTCAAGTTGGCCAAAAAGTGTCTAAAATTTTATGCATTTTGCCCTCCCAGCCCTACAAAATACACTTTTTTTGAGAATAAAATGCTAGTATTGTGCTTCTGAGGTGGAGCTTTCTGATAGTGTTTTCAAGATCTAAAAATTCAAGTAGAATTTTGATGTAGGGACAGTTGTATATGTGGGGTTCCTGCTGTGTACGGCTCTTGATATATCTCACCCATTCTTTGAGACACACAACTGCTTTGGGCATCCACATTTTAGAGACACAATGTGGCATTCAGAATGTCAAGACACTACATGTGTTGAAGCACAATTGATAGTTTATTGGTCTTGCAAGGTCACTGTCTCAAAAAATGCCAGTTTTGGACCAAAATTGGGTCTCTGACATTATATACCCTGTGGTTGCAAAAATCTGAAAAAAATATGCCAGATGATTGGAATGCACAGAGGGCCCAGCCATTATTCTTTCATATTCTTCTGACCCCTCCCAGCTTCTCTATAATTTTCTGTGTTTTCTCAATTTTCCAAACTCAGGGGTAAATTTGCAATTTGGCATAGTGTAATAGCTCAGGCATGAGTGTTTCAAATTATAAGCACAAGACTGATGGCCAATTTGGCTGGGCTTGTCCTGAGTTGTGTTGCTACTGAGAGGCTGAGTTTTCAGACACACGCAAACAAAAATTGCAAAAATGGTGGAAGTTTGCTGCAAAACTACCTCACCAAACACCTGGTGTGGTTTTGGAGGACAATGTGGAAGGAAAAGGAGGATGTTGGAAGTAGCACTTAATTGTACTGATTAGAGTGAACAGTTAAGCAACAATTATCAAGGTTGGCTCAATCATCTAAACTTGCCAAATACCATGGATCATATAATTTTCCAAACATCCATTTCAGGACTCACAAATGCTCCTATGGAGGGTTGTAACGTAAATCTCAACATTTTTTGTCACAACCATTGCTTTAGCCAAGATCCAGCTGTGTCAGCCCGGAGTACATATACATGTACCCAAAACTAACTTGTAACATTAAAAACATTATGTATAAAATTGATTACATATAAATACAGTGCAGTAACAGTATGTAGCATGTGATAAAATTAGGGCTGTGACCCGGCCCTGGGGCATTGCCCAGCCTTGGGCAGACCCAAGGGGATCCAGAAAACACTCAGGGCCAGCCAGGGCACACCCTGAATTGATTTTAAGAGCTAAAAGGGGCCATAGGGGTGATTTCTTGCGTTTGTTGCACATCTAGGTGTATAAAATTGTACATAAACCTTATATCAGCCTACTCAGAGCTTGGAGAGAGCCATGGGACTCAACTCAAAAGGCAATTTTAAAGATTCTTCAACAAAAAAATGACAGACACTGGGGCAGACCGGGCCGCCTGGGTGCTTGCAGGGCTTTTATGACCCTTATTAAGCAGGTTTTGGTGTGTGTCAGGGCACGTACTGTCTGCTTCCAGAAAACCAGCGGGCAGAGTTGGCTGGTCAGGGCCAGGGCCGGGTCACAGCCTTAGATAAAATATACCAAAACACTTATTACATATATATGTGCACTTAAAACAACATGTCATATGTAATAAAACATCATTTACACCTCATAGCTCAGTGTCAAGAGTTAAAATGCTTATATTGCATATTACACATGATATGTATATGTAAGTAAGTATCACTAGTAATGATCATAACATCTAGTGATGATCAAACCTGAACCAATGTAGTGATAGAGACAAATATCACTACAGTTAGGTTTAAAGAGGAGAGTATATAAACCCCTCCTCTCTCAGCCTCCAGAGATTTGCCCAAGCATTTTATTACACACCTCTTTTAAAGAACCCTTTAAAGCTCTTTTGAAGTACATAATCAAAGTCTTATAATTATGTGATTCACTTCATATCTTTAAAGTAGCTTCCTGACTGAGAGATAAAGTAATTTCTGTCTTCCTTCCTTGGATCCTCTACTTTCCCTAAGTAGAACTCTTTTCAGGTTAGTAAACTTCCAATAAACTTCAGTTTAGTCACCTTCAGAACAACTACAGGTTGGTGACCTAGATCAACTTCAGGTTAGTAACCTTCAGAACAACTACAGGTTAGTGACCTACATCAACTCCAGGTTAGTGACCTCTTGAACAACTACAAGTTGGTGACTTCATAACAACCAGATTTGTGACCTCCACATCACTCTTCAATCAGTTACTTTGAAGATTGAAGGAAAGCCTTGGATCCAGCTTTCATAATTATAATCTGTTATAATTACAATCTCCTTTTGAGGAGTCATTCAACTGTAGGCTGTCTGGATTTCTCCAAACAGACCAGTTCTCTTCTGCTCTATCTTTTCCTTCTTTATGAATTTATTGTAATCACATTATATTTGAAATTTACATATACTCATTTAAAATTATTAATCCACCTATCCATCTTTAGTGAGCATTGAGTACTCTTTTGAATACCCAACCCTCACAAGCTGTATACAAACCCAGGCATGCACAGGTTTGGGGCTGGCTTACTACCAGCCAAGTTGGCTGCTTCTCAGTTAAGCATCAGTGTTTATTGCACTTAAACTTTTTTATAACAAGTGTGGAATTGAATCAAGATTGTGGTTTAACAAAGAGCCTGATTTAACAAAGAATGTGATTCCAAAAAGAGGTTGATTTAATAAATAAGCAATGAAAGAAAAAGGGAAGATAAAAAACCAATTATTCATCTTGTTCATGATAAATCAACCTCAAGTTGTTCCTTTGTTTCATATTTGTGGGGTCCTTTCTTGCATCAAACATTGATTACGCTCTTTAAGGTGTTATTTTGGTTTATCTCACATGATGAGCAGGTTGGCTGTGAGCTTTTTGGTTTCTCTCACCTAAATACTAAGGTCACGTTCACTTAAGCAATTCCTGATGACAATTTTCACTGGTAAATTTTTAAGTGAAAAAACAAACCATACTCCACCAAACCAGCACTTTTAATGTTGCAGAACACAATTTCTGACCGGAAATTGCTTGAGTGAACACACCCTGAATTTCTTTGGTCTTAACTTCTCTCACAAAGCTCCCCTGCACTCTCATTGAGACCAACTAGTTGTAGAAATTTCAGACAGGGGCCATTCAGATTCAAAGGCAAGAATCCCAAAAAACAAGTGAAACATATAGGATCCCACTATTTCGAGCCCTCTATCCAATATATGCCGCCCCCTTGGGTCAACCCGGGGGGTGTTGAAAGATTTGTAGCTCCTTTTTTAAACAAAAGGGGCGTAAACTTCAACTTTTTTCGATTTCTTGTTAACTTTTTTCACTCTTTTTCTTATCGTCTACTTTGTCTTTTGAATCACTTGAACTTTTGTTGATTCAGTTCAAGATAATGAGTTTGATAACCATTCATTTTCTGGTTGTAAATGAAAAGTCCTATTGTTTTGTTCACTTGCTGAACTTGGATTTG